TGTTACAGACAAGTTTCTGGCACAGTGGAATCACCAGCTTGTATCCATTTGGGGCATAACTGGACAAACTTAGCTATTCTTCAAAGCTTTACTGTACCAGCTGCTTCTGAAGAAAGTCTAAGAGGAACTGATGTGTAAGGCAGATCTTCCCAATGCTTAGGTTTTATACTTGTAGAGACAGAGTTACAGTCTATAAACTTACCCTACACAGGCAGGAAAAAACAGATTGTGTAAAACAAGCACACACACAAACAAAACAAAACAAAAAATACCCCTGGCAAGAGAAAACACCTTGTTCCAACCAACCGTGACAACGTGTACAGGCAAGGAGACATTCACAGAACTGGGGTATAACTGTAATTATTGGGAGAGAGGTTCAATTTCTACCTGGGAGTCCTACATTGGTTTCATAAACAATGCTGTTTAGCATGCAAATTACCACTTCAGAAGTCAGAAAGGTAAGGACTGCTATTAAAAAGCTCCTGCTAATTAACTGGGGCTGTTTTTCCAGCTGTTGCAGACCCTGTCAGTGTGTTACCTGGAAGTCTGGGAAGAGGACACTGGTGTGATGAACATGATACAATCCATGAACGTTTAGATATTATTGAAGAGGTAAGAGCTATTGCGCTGGCTCCTGGACCTTGCCAGACCTCTGCCCCATCCTTTTGACCAAAGAAAAGAAAGAAGAATGATGTTTCTAGACACTGTCCCTTCTTGATTTTAGGTCTGACTATTTTTTTCAGATGTCATGGTTTGTAACTATCCATAAAGCAATTATTATCGGAAACATATAATCTTGATGAATTCCAAACAACTGAATAACCAATCACTATTAGATATCAGCCTTTTCTAAAATGTATATAACTGTGCCTTTAATATAACAATCTCAGAACTGATACTTGTAGTTTCACATCTGCTCATGGCTAGATGTGAATTCTGCAGGTGAAGACTGATGGTGGCGTTTCTGCTCGCTCCTCAGACACTCAAGAGCTAAATGAACTCTATGACCGGGATTCTAGGAAAGCTGCAAAGTTTTCATTTTTTCCCCTGGTGTCTTAAGCACTCACAAGATACATGTCCAGTGCTAACTATTCCCATCTGGTTAGCTTCCAAACTGCATGCTGTTGGTTCTCAAATGGCAACGTTACCTCTCTCCTGCTCTAGTCCCAGCCCTCTTCTTTTCACCCCATCAGCTCCTCTCATCTTCCGTGCAGATTCTTTTCTTGGATATGATGGTGGCTCAGAAATGAGAGAGAATTAAAAACAAATTAATGCAAAGCTTCCTCCAAGAAGTCAAATTACGGGCAATTCTTTATACAGAGGTGCTGTAATTTAACTCTTGCAAAACAAAGTTTTAATACTCCAGGCCACTAGAGGACAGCATAACACAAGAAATATTTAAATCTGCAATGCGCAATATAAATTAAATTAGCTGTTAGCGTTATGGGATATTAGATTTGCACTTCCACTAGCACACTTGGTACAATTCCTTCCACTTGACCCCTTGTCTACCCCCTTTCTCCATTTGTCTCCCTTGTTTTCATTAGAAGGTAATAAAAACAGTGGAGCATCTAGAATCAGAGGTCAAATCGCTCCTCAACATCATCAGTGAGACAACATCAAATATCCCCGTTGCTCCAGGAACCCCACTTATAGACATTTTTGATGGTAAGTATCTAGTGGGATGTAACCAAAGTCGAAAACAGTGTTTCACATGTTATTGCCAAATACGTCATCTTTTCTCCCCCCCCAAATGTGAAGTAATTCCTTCATTCAATTCAGTGCAGCTAAGGCCTCAGCTGAAAGACTGGGTCCAGTTTTGAACACCAGGTTTCAACAACCACTAAAGGGGAGGGGGAGGAAAAAAGGGAAGGGAAAAAAAACCAACCAAATAACCAAAAACCTCGCCAAGGAGCTAGATACATGAGCTACACAGAAAGGTTGTTAAATTGGGGACGTTTAGCCTAAAGAATATCGAAGTAGCCCACCAGAACGAGTAAGGTTGCCACAAAGATGAAAGCTGTGTTTTCTTCCCTATTGCAAAAGTGAATAAAACAAGAAATAATGCAGCAAGAAAGACTCAAGCGAAACGCAATGCAAAGCTTTCTTACAAGGACAGTGAACCACTGAAATGATATGACTGTAGTTTCCCCAGCACTGGAAATGTTAAAACAAGCATCACACCTTAGAACAGCAGGATGGACTAAGCAATCTCAAGGTCTCTTTCAGTTTTAAGATCCTGTGATTCTTTAGTTTCATGTGTGACAAATGAAACAGAGGGGCAACAAAATACAAAAAAAGTGATTGGAAATATTACCATTTTGGCATCTTAAATCCAATTTTGATACACAAGCCCCTCACACAGAACACGCTCCTGGATAAACATTTTTGGAATAAATTAAACCACAACAGAAATTATTTGGACGAGACCACCTATTCTACACAGCTTCTTATAATGCTCTGTCCTCCTCATTCTCTGCCCAAATATCAATAGTGCATTTAACAAGGTGAGAGACACTCCTGGTGGAAAATAAACCTCTTGTGGAAAGCCACAAGCATCCACAGATATGTCTATGAGATCAGTTTTGTCAGTGTTGGGGTTTTTGTTTGTTTGTTTAAGGTAACTGTACATGGGTGCATACACACATGCATACTACAGTGCACTTACATGACAGAAGGTGAGCTCAAAGTAGACAGCAGTAGAATTTATTTTGGTTTTTAGTTCTTGCAGTTGGCTGTATGGATCTGGTCACCATGACTGATACATCCTCACCAACTCTGTTATTCATTAAAATTTCCAGTTTTCTGTGAGGGGCAGTTAATAGGTAACAATTAATTTACTCCCCCGCAATGATAATTTATTTTAAAAAGAAAAGTACTCCAGTAAAGTGTTACAGTGAATTTAAGATGGAAATCCTAAGTTAACCATGGCATATTTGCAACACATCTGTAGTAAGTACTACTCAGATGGAGCTTGCAACAACTGCGAAGTGGTTCAAGAATTGCAGATAGGACCTTCCTTCTGTGATATGGTGAATTAAAAGCGACAATTTCCCACTTTAAAGTAGCAGGATTCATGTTTTAAACAATGTTTATCCACAAAGATTGATCCTGATCTTATAACCAAAAATAATGACATCAACTCTTCTCTATACAGATACCAGCTGAGCACTGCCAAGACAGAAGACAGCTGAATGTTAACAGTATGGTTGTCAAACAGTTGCACTTTTGTTCATTTAGTAAGCTTGTGTTTCCAGAATTTGAGCAGGGATGAACAATTCTCAGCTGTCATTTGCCTTCTGTGTTCCTGTGCTTTATAATAAACAGGTATTTGCTTTTAGACACTGCTTCAAAGCTTTATATTTTAAATCTTTCAGCAGCCCTACTTGATCAAAACTGCATTTCAAATCCAGCATTCTCAGTACGAAAACAAGATCAGGTGGGGTCCGGGACTAAAGCACAGCTAACAAACTTCCCTTAATTCAAAAGCTTACTACTTGCCTGGCAAAGAAGTGAACTCTTGCTATCGGTGTAAATCAATGAACATACACTTTCAGCTGCAATTTCCTCTCAAGATATGCTTAAGATTGTCTGACAAAAATGAGCATATGGAGTGGTCTGGCTTTGGACATAGTCACACTGTTGCCATTGACTGAAACCGGAGTCCTATTTGCACGTCCTAGTCAGAATTAGGACTAGTCAGAATTTGCCATTTGGATGCATAGCCACCTGTATTCTGTAATCTTTACGCTCTTCTCCCTTGCCGTAGTGACAATGCAACCCAGAATTAATTCCAACATCCACCCCCATGACACCTCCATTTTCTTCCATGATAAACACCAACACAACTTCTAGGAAAAAGGACCTGCCGACCTTCACAGAATGGAGAGAGAGCCTGCGTATGTGTGTGAAATAAGAGGAGGAGTTTGCACGTTCTTCATTAAGAAGCAGTCTGTTTTCACTGAGCTAGCTCCAAATATCTTCTCCCTGCTCCTTGTACTTTTTTTTTTTCCTCTTTACATGTTTCTATTTTGAGAACAAGCTGAAGAGATGTCATCCATGCTAGCAGAGAATAAAAATTCAGAGTTCCAAGAGTCAGAGAAATTACAACATGCAAAATGAAAATACTGAGCAATAACTACAGATTACATATATCATGTACAGACAGTTGCTCATCAACAGCACACAAGTCCCAAACTCTTGTCAACACAACTATTTCTGAATAATTCTGTGGATTCAGGCAGAGAACTTCTATGGAAAAACTAAGTTACACAAACTGAGTCATCACTCACACGTAAATCAACATGAACACCAAAAAGCATAGTCTGCAAAGAGTTAGAAGATAGACGGCTTTAATTTCATAATCTCTTCTTACATACATATATTTAAGGCACAATCCAAAACCTTAAAACTTGAACCATAGAATCTTTACTACTGTCAACATTACTACTGCCTTGTAACAGTTGCCCTAGTGAGAATGAAATGTGGAACACATCTTCCTTAAAAACAATCAAGGAAAGAAAACAGAACTTGACAAAACTTCTTTGAAACTATCTTAACTAGGCACAGAAACTCAAGGCTGTTATCTCCCCATATCAGGGAGTAGGCTAGCATGAAAGCAACTCTGCATACAATATATATAAAACTTGCATTAAAATGGCACATAATGCTTATACAAAATAAAACCTTAAATCATACAACTGTGATTTTTGTTCCATGAAACAAACATATTTTTTCAGCATAATATAAGCAGAAAAGAAACAATGACCTGTCATTCATGGATTGCTGAGAGTACTATACAGAATCCTGAGCAGATGGCACATAAGCTTGATATTTATGGGTTTTTTTGGCATTTATTACCTACTATTTTTGAACTGAAGAGAAGATATATGCAATATTATCTTTTAAAATGTAATTGCTTTAGGAGAAACAGGTCATTACATATTTACTTTTGGAGAAAAAAAGAAGCTTTAAAGCAAAAACATGAAAATAGCAGCTTTTTTAAGAAAAACTCAATGCTCCATTTAGTCATTTCCACCACACAACTTGAGTAGGATTTTCCGGTAGTCTCCTGAAGTATCACCCTGGAAGGAAACCCAGAAAAAGAAAGTTGAAGACTTGTGCTTTGAAATAGAGGAAAAAGAACACGACATTAATGACCAAAAGAGATTAAGCCAAGGCTGAAAGAAAGCAGGTGTTAACCCCTTAAAAAAAAAAAAAATTAAACGGCCTGCTAATTAGAAATCACTCTAATACAAGTACACAGTAAAACCTGCTTCTTCCATAACTGGAACCAAAAGTGTCCTCAGAGAATATATTTCTTTAGCAACTGAATTTGGTGTACAGGTTCGACTACTTACCTGGGAATAGTTCAATACAAAAATCTCACTGAAAATGTGTCTTCCAACAAAAGGTATGAAAATATGGAAAAATTAATACAGAAGTCCTTTTCCTTGCAGTCAATGTGGATACTCTTCCAGGGATAGCAAGTGAAGTTTACTCTTTATTATGTTCAAACATTAAAAACAATGCCCTGATATCAAAAGATCTTTTCCACAATTAGAGAACATCTTTAATGTTTCATGTTGCGGGCAGTGAAAGTCAGTACGGATGCACAGAAAAACATGCAATTAATCACAAAAGGCCCTGCTAGCTGAGTTTTGCCTGGTGGTCCTATGAGTAAAAAGTGTTCCCTGGGAGCTGCTCATTAACTAGTTTTGGTTGATAAGGCCTGCCAATCCTTTTCACAGAACAGTTTCAGCTAGTGCATTAATCTTATCCTTCATCTTCAGGTATGACTGAAAACTGTTTTGTCCAGATCAAAATTATTACAGTAGGGACAAAGAGACACTTCAAAGATCAGGATAAATCCTGTGCACGTGTAAAGCATAATCCGTAAAATATAAGACATTCCTGTTTACATATGCACTGAAAGGAAAGAACTGCTGTCCACATACAAAAAAAAAAAAAGAGAGAAGAATTAATAACTTTCTTTCCAAGAATGTTTTTGGCTCTACTTTTACAGAAATAAGAAGCAGAGTTTACATACACATAACTGTACACATGCATGCCCCATATTTACTGAAACCAAGTTTTGAATAAGTTCAGCCTATTAAACGGGTATGGCCTGTTCCTGCTTCTGAATGGTAAAATTATTTTAATGCCAGATCAAAAGAGAAGCGGTGGGGGCAGGGAGGGAAGAGAGAGACATACAGCTTACAGCTTTTCCACCAGTGTCTCACTAGTTTTTATGCACACATTGGTGGTTACAGGGCATGTAACTACGGTAGAAGCAGCAAGAAGCAGCACATCTTCACCCCAGAGTTACACACTTGGAAAAAGCTTCTGCTAGGTGGTCCTCTGGCGCATGGGCAGAAAGACCATACAGTTGCTGTCAGAAGACTCACATAAAGACTTTTTGGCGCACACTATCTTTGTAGGATTCCTTCCAAACACCACCAAGTTGCAGCCCCTCAGTGTCAACAGCAGAAGGAATAAATAGGGGCTTAACAGATTTGGTGCCTTCATTACAAGGTAAATGAAAATGGCATCACTCACTCTCCTCCAGCTGTTATTACCCTCCCTGTGGGCCAGGCATCCTCCTGACTGTTGCTACAGCTGTTAATAGCAGTAGTAGGGTGGATCAGCTGCTAAAGAATCTGAAGTTTAATCTATTTCCAAAATCTTATACTTTCAAGAGAAAGAGGAGGCAATCTTTTAAAAGCATATTAGGAGCTTTACACTCTTTTAACACACACATGAGGTAGAGCACCATCATTACTCTGTTGGAGGACTAAGTGGTTTCTGCAAGATCCTACATAGAGATTGGGGCAAAGACCACTTAAAACCAGGTCTCTGAAACCCCTCTGGACCAATTTAGCTTTCTTTCCTTGTCTGTTGGCTTCCTTCCCATCTCTAGGTCATCTAGCCCCCACACAAAAGCAAGTGCTGCCTGCTCTGTGGCACTTCAGCCTCCACTCTCCTGACTAATGCAGCAAACCAAATACAGCCAGCTACACTCAGTGCACTTAATAGCTATTCAGGGTAAGGATTCATGTTCTACTAGCAGAAAGGATGTCACGGCAGGGAAGATAAAATCTCCAAGTCTTACAGTGATATCTGTGTAGAGGGATCTGCCATACATCCGCTTGTATTCTGCACGTATGTCCAGCAGGTCAACCTCACTGCGTGATACCATGATGCGAATCAGAGTTCTGTCTTTTGTTCCCGCTCCCTGAAACAAACAAAACAACAATATAATGTATTCATAACGTGTGGAAATGCTGGATGATACAGCACTAGTAAAAATAAATAAATAAATCATCACCTCACAAATGGCCACTTACTAGCATAACCCCATTGACTTCAATAAGCTTGAACAGAATTTGGCCTGTCATGCTTTAATAAATTAAATTTACTGGTAGGACACTAACAGTCATTTCCCTGCACAAGAACAGTTAGGAAAAAAAAAAGGGGGGGTTGTCAGAGGGACAGGGGATCAGGAAAGTTTGGTGAGTTTAATGGCCTATTTATTTATTTCAGCTAAACCTCCCTACTTAAAAGATAACGATTTCAATGAGTCTTAAGCATATTTGTGTTTTACCAAGTGAAGACTTTCTTTATTTAAGGTATGGTTGTATGCATCTCTTTGTTAAGTGGATCAAATTAGCTAGACTTTTCCAGCCTTTCATAATAATGATTATATCTCGGTAGTCATCCGCCCACTGAAAAATGTAATACCTTCAGCTGAACAATTCATTCCACTGAGCCATAAAAGCACTTAAAAAAACCAACCAACCAAACCCAAAAAACACACTATAAGTTTACGTATCTTGTCACAGGCACCTACCTTCATAGCCTTCTGTAATCTCTCTGCAAAAAAAGCCGGCGTGTTCTTGAGGCACTTAACTGCAAAAAGAAACAGTATTACAGAAATCACGTATTACTCTTCAATCAGAAATCACAGTCATTTTTTGAGCTTACCCTAGGTAGTCACATGCTTTAATTTTACATAAACATACACTTGATGCAATGCAGCTTCCACTGCTTCAGTTAGTCACTGAAATTATTTTTAATTTGAACAGTAACTGCAATAAAGTTAAAGAATGTACTACACTTCATGGCTCAAAGCAAACTTTGCCGTCACTAGAAACGATCTAGCGTGAAGCAGCCACAATTAATCTTTAAAGTCTTATGACCAGATTCTTGCTAATGAAGGGAAAAGAGGGGATGGGGAGAGAGCAAAAGGCTTGAAGGAACACAGTTATGTGTTATGTGCACACCTATGGTGCTCCTGGCTTTTTCCTGATTTAAGAATTTTTAGGCCATGCATCTGCACGGTATGACGAATTCAAGTCCTGCCCTAATACAAGTTGGGAAGCCACCTATGACAGAAACCTTACCCTTAAAGTTAGTTACACTTTTTTTGTAGCCACAAAGTTCACCAGGCCTCCTGAAAAAGTCTTGACATGCTTATTTACTAATGACTGGACTTTATATTTAATTAGCGCAATTCATTAGAAATCTTAAAGAGCAAAATCTAAATCAAATTACTGTCATGGTAATGAGGATAATAAAAGAATCCTTCATCACACATCAGAATTAAAATCAATATATTGATCCTATGTTGGTTACAAGTAAAAAATCATGCAATCTATGGTGAACTACACAGAAAACAAACCACACCTGACTTATATTTTATAGCACAAAAAGGTATCAAAAGCAATCACATGAAATCAATACAGAACAAAAGGGGTAAACCTAAATACGTATTTCACAGCAACACACATTCTATATAGGAAAAACTACTTTTCTGAATAGGAAAATGTAGATGAGAGAGCGCAGTTCACCACACACAATTTTCAATGATACGTATAATACAATTCAAAAACGAATGACAAATGAAATGCATGTTTCTTTATCATTGTATTTAGCTAAAACAACACATTTGCACTTTAAGATGTTTGAAGATGTTATTGTAAGTTACCAGTTGTACAATCCAGAAAGCTTTAAAGAAAGCAAAATTAGATATTTTCAATTAGAAAACCTTTCTTTCCTGAAAATAAGGATCACAGAACAAATGATGCTAACATCATTGATATAGATATATATGTGTGTATACACATATATATACATATAAATAAAAAAAAAAACAAACCAAAGTCTATTCAACAAAGGAGTTACTCGGTGAATATTAAAGACAATTCTTGCTCAAAAGGCTATTGACTTTTTTCAAGCTATAGTCCCAATTCTGAATCTGTATCTACATGGAGACCTCTCAAGTGACTGCAAAGCTCCATGAACTCAAAGGACTTCCAAACTCTGACAGTACAGTTTCTTTACCAAGGCGACCTTTTTCTACAAAAACTGGGACATATTTCTTTTCCCTAAGTTTGGTTTTCTAACAATACTTTTTGATGTGATGAATTCTGAATTCTGGAAAAGGTCTGCAAATGTATCACACCAACAGAGCTGGACTCAGTTTGGGTCATTAAAAGGCCACTATAGTGACACTTTGGCCAAGGAGACTAAGAACAATAGTTACATCGTTCACATATGCACAAGACAGGAGTGAAAAAAAATGAAGCTTTTAAAATTGGTTCCCATTTTGCGAGATTTTGTTCAAAACCGCCATGAAAAAAATCTGTTGCAGTTGAGACAAATGTCCTCTCCCATCTTGTTTCCAAGTGATGCAAAGTACATTTTTCCTATTTATTTCAGTAGGAGGTTTGGGGGTTTTTTTATGTGTTTGAGGTTTTTTTTCTAGTCACTACCATATTCAAAGAACAACACTTTTAAAGCAGCAACTCTAGATACTACAGTAATAAACAGAAAAAGAAATGGAGATGTAAAGAAGCAGTCTTGTTTGAGAGACAAGAGACAAAAGACGAGAGAGAAAGAGGTCCCCAATTTTAGCTAGAATAAAACATTCCAAATAAAACTGCTGCACAACAACTTGAGGCCTTGTCCCAACCTCATGGAAACTAGTAACTACCTCCCAAGGGACAATAGTAGACTTGAGGTAAAAGCCTTTACTCTTCAGAAGTACTGGAGGCACTTAAAAACAAAGATTTAACAAAGCTGTAACCACAGGAAATGTGGAAAAAATAATACCTTCGCAATCAAATTTAAGTTTTCTTTCTACTAAAAAGAGGTAGAGGTAACTAATTAGGCGGTTAATGCCTATATTTTGCTTGATTTCCAAAGCTGTCTCAAATATTCCATTCTCACTGACTTAGCGGTTGGTACAAGTTCTCATCACTTCTTAAAACAATGCCAAATACAATTAATAATTCTCTCCCCACTTTAACACGTGAAATTTAAATTCTGCAGCTGCTTGAAGCAAAAGCCTCATCTGTCATTTTGAGGTGAATTAAGTGCCCTGCTTTCTAACCACAAGTGACTTCACAGAAAGCTCAACATAAAAAGCAGAAAACTGGAATTATTACTAAGAACAACATCCTTAGCTGGAGTCACAGATGCCACCATCTCAGCCAGTTGGAGTGGAATACCAGGAATGAACTCGCTAAGATGACACATACCTACTGCCAGCATGCCCTTTTCCAGGTCTCCAGACATTTCACGACATATGCTTTTTTCAATGTCCCGGTTACACATCCTCTGGTACTCGCTGAAGACTGTTAATGGAAGAGAAAGATTTCGGGAGTCAGCCTCACAAAAAGAGGTAGAACCGGTGCATGCTGGATGGCTTCATTTCAATCGCACTTCTCAACTTGATGCTACAGTATAGTTACACAAGTTTTAACATCTCGAAGACTAATACTATGTTATCAACCATATTGTTCCATTTACATGTCACCATGGTCCTTCTAGCTTGTCTAGTTCTGTCCTTATTTTTAAAGGGCTAGACCAAGAAACCATTCTAAGGGAAATAGTGAAAATTCTTCTAGGAAAGCTTTGCATGTCAATAAAATTAAGAAGAAAACATTCAGGTTCTCACACCCCTCCCGTCCCTTTCTTCTCCATATAAGCGCCACAATATGTAGCACATTTCAGAAGTTCTATGTAGTTAACTAAAACATTTCCACCACTATAGACTGATGTAACACACAATCACCACCAAGTAAAAGGGGAAGGGAAGGATTGCAAGTGTCTTGTGCACTCACAAGCATGCACAATTCTAGTTGTGCAGTTCTTTTATCACAGAAATATTTGAACAAGTATGACCTCTACCTGCTCTGATATTTAAGAAAGACGATCATAATGTGCAGCTCTTGTGTATCCTTTCCCTCAGCAGAAGTCACCCTGCTTTTCATTGAGGTATCATTACACTCATTTTACAGATGGGGGAAATTCAGGCACAGAGAGGCATTGGACATTTTTATCATTACATACAACAGAATCAAGTTACTGTTCATGTAGAGGACACCATTACCTGCTCTGAGGTGGGCCCTGCTTCTTGCGCACAGAATGGCATTAAATTTGGACTCATCAGTTCCTAGACGGTTCTCTCCAGCTGCATATAGCTCCTAAACATAGAAAGGAATTCACACTTCATTACTCAGAAAAGCAGTCAGGCTGAAAAGCTGAGTTACAGATCTGCTTCTTTACAGCCTCTCCTCCTTTTATACTTATTTCTTAGTCTATGTACTGCTGGAAAACAGAAGCAAGCAATAAATAGCAACTAGTTCTAACCTTCTTACAACATGCTATGCTTGCAGTCTTCCTAGCTTACTGATGCATAAGCTCAAACACAAGAGCTTCAGATTACTAAAGGGGGGGAAATTGTTTAAAAAGTACCTGAAGACTGTTTTTCCTAACAGGGCTTACATCTAGCTTTTTTTCTATGCCTCAAGGTATGTTCTAGGATGTTCTCATCTTTTGTCTAAGGCATACTATGTAGAAAGCTAATTACATTGCTATTTATATGACAGCAGTGTGCTGAAACAATCCAGGGATTTCTTTGTTATGTGGTGAAATGGAACACACAAAAAAAGTAATAGGGCAAGAGTTACTAGGTCCAACTGCCTTATTTGCTGCAAAAATCCAGAGTTCCTTAAATAACAGGCAAAGGCTAATGCAGGTGTTGAACAGATTAAAATTTCATCCACACACATATCACCTCAAATCTCTTTAGACCACTACCTTAATAAGCAGCACAATGGAGTCATGCAATGCCTGGAAAAACCAGAGAGGTGACAAAATGAGAGATAAAAAACCCTATGGACTCTATTGGACCCCAAGAGCTTCATTCATCTCTGTAATGGAGCTACATGGCTCTAATGCTCTGTCAGGGCTTTTCATATCACTTCCATTCACTGAAACATAAGCAGTACATCAGCAGAAATCACAAGGTGTACAAAACTAAGAGTAAGCAGAAACCACAGTCAAACTTCAGCGTATTTAGTTGACTATACTTAGAAATGATGACGAATTTCTACTGACCTGCACATCTTTTTGGACAAGAGACATGTCAACAGTTGTACTTTCATCTCTGTTTCCCTGAAAGAATTTAAAGATACAAAAGTGTTACTGGTGGGCTTTTTTTTTTTTAGGAAAGAAAAAAAAAAAAACAACCCACAACCTACAAAACACACACACACACACAAAACCGAAACTCCAAAAGCCCGGCATGTAAGTACCTGAGAAAGTGAAATTAAAAGCCTCTGAAAGTGCCCAGACGTGTCACTTTTTATTGCTTCCTCCAGAGTTTTCTTAAATTCTGGAAGAGAGACAGTCATGAATCATCATATACCCCTGCTCACTTCCTAAATTCATATTGTCAGTCAGTGATTAAGGAAGAAAAGGAAGAAAATTTTGATGGAACTGTAACAAATCTAACCTGTTTTATAGACCCTGTTCAGTTCCTGAATATGCTCATTACTGCGAGAAGCTAAGATTTCAATGAGACAATTTTCATCTGTGCCAACGCCCTAAAACAAAGCATAAGGAGAAAACACACTCTTCAGATTCTCATCTTACTTCTACAACCTAGTGTAAAAGAAATGTAATAAGTTTATACAACAAAATACAATTCAGAATATAATCTTGTTATAGAAGTCAAAGCAAGTAGTTTAAATGCTTATAACGTTTCCAAGACACAGATATGTATTAAAGATACAAATCGAACAGATAATTAAAATAATTATGAAAACAATTTTTTATTTTAAAACGTCATCCTTCACACCAGATTTTAGGCATTTTAAGAATCAATTTTTTTCTACCATTAAAGATGAATTTGTTAATTCTAATTGGTAACTTTCACTAACTAATAGATAGCAGTTGCAATTACAATACCACTAATATTATTTCATCCTCCTAGATACTTTAAAATTGCAGCCAAAGAACACGTAAATATACACACTCAGTCAGTAATGGAAATATTTATTTCACCTTCATTTAAACGTTGTCTTGATATACAAATGTTTGACCTGTTTTTATTTTTAAAACCTAAATGTTTATAAAATAGTCTGACTGCTTTGAAGAGAAAGTACATGACACTTCCATAATATTTTAGAAAAGGTGCAGTATGGGCTAGGAAAATACCCCTTTGAGGTGGGTGAAAAGATAAAAAGAAGGTACACCCTGCTCAAAATCTTTATGAACCTAGTTTTCTGAACTATTCTTGAGCACTGAGCATAAAGTCACTGGTAACTCTAAGTTGAGCGGTTTTATCATCAGTTCCATCACAGCTCAAAGCAAAAACCCAGAAATAAAGGCGCCCCATGCAGTAGCTGGCTTAGAGGAGAGCTGCCTCAGTGGCTCACTCAAGACTATGTAATAAATGAACTTCAGAGACTCTTAGAATTCAGTTTCTGCCTTTTTTGTGTATTTATTTATCAATATATTTTTGTTATAACACAAACCTATTAAATAGTCTTTACCTTTAACCTATGGGAATAACATTTCTCAATTTTACAATCATGTACCTCCAAGAAATGAGGTACAGATCAGTCAAACGGTGGGTTGAGTATGTGGATGGAGAAGAGGGAATGTAAGTTCAAGCTTTTAAATGACTACCAAAAATTTTACCAGCTCAAATATTTCCTTTATCTTATAAATTTGTATCTCCTACACAAACCTTTATAGCTTCCTTGATTTCATAAGCATCAAACATGACAGGTGTCTTCATCATTGCTAAGATTGTCCTCTCAAAGTTACCTGATAGCTCAGACTTGAGATCCTTGATCAAATCCTAATGAGAAGTAAAAACAAGGAAAAAATGCATAAAGACCAAAATTGACAAATGTAAGCACCAAAATTGCGGAGTTTAATTAGAATTCTTTATGCGTAAGTATTAATAATATATCTTCAAAGTAAAGCTATTCCACTTAACACTAAAACCAGCATAATGTAACACATACATCTAGGTAATTAAGGTCCAATTAAATAGACTGCACAGACCAAAGAGTCAAAGTAACCATTCAGCAGAGAAACTGCTTTATATGTTTCATCTGAAACACCAACCGAAAAAGTCAAGAGTGGGTAAAAGCAGAACCCCAAGCAGGCTATGACTTGTGAACCATCTTTCCCTTAAGCAACTTCCCATCTTTTTTTCCAAACACTAAGTCTTCTGACTTCCAGTGAAGGAATGGAGTCTCTTATTTCTTCTTCCTTCTGTTCTCATGATGTATTTACCTTTCCATAAGCTGTTTTGAAGGACAGGATGATCTGCTGCCGTTGCTTGTTTGAACGACTTCCAAGACAATCGATAATAGCCTGTTCATCGGTTCCTGTACGTGCACAGACACCACAGAATGAGCATGCACGTCATGTGAGGAGTCAGCTTTCTGTTTCCATTTTATCCTCTCTCTTCTAAACCTCACCAACATGTATGCCTTTAATTCATCTACAGTATCTCCTCTTGTGTACAACCACAGACTTTCAAAGCCCTCCTCCCAATCACAAATACAGTAACAATACAAAAAAAAAAAACACCAACCCAAAACCAAATACCAAACTCATCATATTGTTTATGCCTACATGAACTTCCAATAATTCTTCTGATAACCAAGGACAACCGCATGCGAACTAGCCCACTCAGTACACACGTAACAATGGAGAAAGATCCGTGCTGAATCAGAGCTGCAATTCTACTTTTAACTGAAATGTAAATCCACAGACTGCTCACCGAATCCCTTCATGGCCTTCCTTAAGACTTCTGCATCCTTCAGAGGGTCAAATCCCGGTGCATCAGTGATCGTGCCTCGGTTTCCATGCTAAAATCAGACCAAGTTGAGTTGCATATTAGTGTTAATCAGTAAAGGACTGTGTTTTACTACTTAGGAAAAATGACTGCTGTTATCAATTTTCTTTTTGTTAGAAAAGTAACAGAGAAAACTCAAAAAAAACCCCGCCTTAAATAATTTGCTCATTTCTATACTCAAATTATGAGAAAATGCAAGGTCAAGAAGGTTCACTGATATTAAATCTGCTGTCCAATTAATTAAGGTTTCATGAAACTGTATATACAACTGGCAATACTTTGTTAAGTTAGGAAAAGCAAACCTCATTAAATTTGAATTTGTGTCATATCTTTCTTCTTGGATAAGGTGGTAAAACAGCATTTGTTTCAAGTCATATGATCTTATATTGCTTGCATTTGGAAAGAATCCATCTCTCTCTTTAGTCAAACTTATTTTCATTACTTTCTTTTCAATTTTAGGGTCAGTTTACACTTATATACACAAAGGGAATGCAGAGAAATGTATACATGGTCACATCTCAAAACAAAAGCACTGAATGCTCTTACTGTTACAGGAGAGATTGTAGGTCCTGTAGTTCCTGGGTAAGAGGGCATAGAAGGATTCACAGCTGGGCCTGGTGGATAATTTGGCATAGGCTGCTGCCCTGGGTAAGTTGCTGGTGGTTGTCCTGGATAGCCCATAGGCTGCTGACCAGGCGGTGGTGTGGGCTGGCCTGGCACAGCACCACCTGGC